GAACACTTGACTGTCCTCATAAGGAACGTGTACATAACCCGAGGCTGTCATTCACACAGAACAAGGGGAATACTGCATGGTTTTAAATCATGAAGGGAGTGAGTCTCAGGGTTGCATCCTTTCATCATACTTATTCAATCTGTATGCTGAGCAAATAATCTGAGAAGCTGGATTATAGGAAGAAAAACATGGCATCAGGATTGGAGGAAAAATCATTAACAACTTGCAATATGCAGATGACACAACTTTGCTTGCTTAAAGTGAGGATAACTCGGAGCACTTATTGATGAAGATTGAAGACTACAGTGTACAGTACAGATTGCACCTCAATATAAAGAAAACAAAAATCCTCACAACTCTACCAATAAATAGCTTCATGATGGATGGAGAAAAGGCTGAAGTTGTCAAGGACTTCATATTACTTGGTTCTACAATCAACACCAATGGAAGCAGTAGTCAAGACATCAAAAGATGTATTGCATTGGGCAAATCTACTTTAAAAGACCTCTTTAAAGTGCTGAGGAGCAAAGATATCTCCTTGAAGACAGGTGTGCCTAACCCAAGCATGGTATTTTCAATTGCCTCTTATGCCTGTGAGAGCTGGACAAGGAATAAGGAAGACTGAAGAAGAGTTGATGCTTTTGAGTTGCGGTGTTGGAGAATGCTAATAGGACTAACATATCTGCCCTGGATGAAGTGCAGCTGGAATGTTCCTTGGTAGCGACAATGGCCAGCCTTCAACTCACCTACTTTGGTCATGTTGTCAGAAGGACCATTCCCTGTAGAAGGATATCATGCTTGGTAAAGTGGAGGGTCAATGAAGAAGGGGAAGGCCCTCAATGAGATGGATTGACACAGTGGCTTCAATGATGGGCTCAGGTATAGACAGCAGGACCGACAGCATTTTGTTCTCCTGTACATAAGGTCGCTATGAGTTGGAGACAGCTTGACGGCACCTAACAACATAACCACAATCCTTTATAAATACCTTTCCAATTTAATAACCAATAATCAATTAAAAATTTGTAATGGAGGAGTGAGGAGCTCTGGTAGCATAGTGGCTAAGACACTTGCCTGCTAACCAGACGGCTGGTGGTTCAAACCCACCAGCCAGTCCTCGGAAGGAAGGTTGGGCAATCCTACTTCCGTAGTGACACTGCCTCAGAAACCCAAGGAGGGGTCGCTATGAGTCGGGGCCGACTCGACGGCACATAACAACAACAACAATGAAGGAGTGAGTTTTAATGGAAAGCCATATTTTAATTCTCATATAGAGGAGTGAGGAGCTCTGGTAGCATAGTGGCTAAGACACTTGCCTGCTAACCAGACGGCTGGTGGTTCAAACCCACCAGCCACTCCTCGGAAGGAAGGTGGGCAATCCTACTTCCGTAGTGATACTGCCTCGGAAACCCAAGGAGGGGTCGCTATGAGTCGGGGCCGACTCGACGGCACATAACAACAACAAATATATTTGTTAGGAGCTCTGGTGGCACAGTAGTTAAGGCATTTGGCTGCTAACCAAAAGGCTGGTGATTTGAAACCACCAGCTGCTCTGTGGGAGAAAAAAAAAAGTTAGCTGCTTCCATAAAGTTTTACAGCCTTACAAACTGTACAGGGAAGTTCTACTCTGCTGTATAGGGTCGCTACAAATCAGAATCTACCCAATGGCAGTGGGTTTGGTTTTGGTTTCCATGTATTTTCTAAGAATATAAAACTATTTCATCAATTTCACTTCCATAAAAATACGTCTCCCAATTATATATACTCACTTAAAAAGTGCCCCCAAGATTTTCATTTGCTTGTTTATTTGCTTTTTTAATACTAAAAAATATCTAGATTGCTTGAAAGCAGTCAGATGACAAATACTAGATTTCTAGTAGGCAGTGGTTGTAAATCAAAAAATCAGGAAACAGCAACACAGCTTCTTTCAACATATTGGTGTGGTTCCAAAGTCTGGAGAAGTTGGTAAGAACAATGACCTTGGAAACTTTGGGGTTTATGTCTTATATTTTTCCTGCTGCTTTTCAGGAGAAAAGAAATGTTATTTTGCACACAATAAAAATTTAAAAAAAAAATCACCTGCAGAAACAAAACATGGTACCTATCGATTAAATGTTTTCTAATAATCCAAGCAATGCAAATATATTCCTATGCACTCTCTACCGTCAATGCCTCAGTTGTTACTATGAAAAAGAAGAAAAGACTCTGTTTTTATAATGACAGTAGAAAGAAAGAAAAAGAAAAGTAATTATTAAAGGTTGCTAGAGGAACATCTAAAATGAAACTAAATTTAGTGGCACTCCTGATACAAGCAACTGATAGCCATCCCAGCCTTATTAAATGGTATATGCACTAACTGTACATCCCACCCTCCCTTCTTCTATCCTGCGGCTGGGACAGGAGTCCAGGAACAAAACCATAGGACCCTCACTTGTACAGCCAGAGGCAGAGGGAATTCCAGTGCCAGTAGAGAGATGGACTCCCAATTGGTCTTCAAATAGAACCAATCTGTAATATTGGTTGTTTCTAGTTATTGGGCCTGTGGGTGATGATTTTTTTCTCTTCTGTTTTCTAAATTTCTATAATGGTATGTATTACTCTTATAGTGAGAACAAAGTTCCAACCAACCAATGATTTATATACAGTCATGTGTCCATAATGTCCATGATATGTTCTGTGAAATAGGATGCTATGCGATTTGGACATAGTGTAAACACCATATGATACACAAGCAGTCCCTGGATTATGAACAACTTCCGTTTCTGTCTTTAAGTTGAATTTGTACATAAGTTGGAACAGTTAGTTACAGTTTGTATCTAATGTCAGTTAGTCAAATGTTTATCTTAGTATACAGTATGTAGTGCACCTTTCTATGCATAAAAAACAATTAAAGAAACACTTCCAGATACACTAAAACATCTTTAACATTAATACAGAAATAATAATGTTTTGATGTGTGCCACAAAGTAGCACTCATTTGTTATTATGAACCATAGTATGCACCTCAAATTTGTAATATAATTATGCAACGGACATTATGCGATGTGTGACTGTATAGTTCTATTTTTAATTCCCACTGAAGAGGAGCTTCTAAGTGTCCTTATAAGTTCTTCTTCTCTCCCAATGGTGCTTGGTGGGTCTCCATTTTCCAGGTAAAGCCAAGCAGGACTCCACAATTTAGGGGTTTAGGTCAGATTACCTATAAGGGATTTCTAAGAATGATACTGGAGTGGAGGAAGATTCCACCACCTCCCTGAAGGCGAAAAACAGTAATATTTATTAGGTCCTTGTGGTGTCTAAGAGTGCCTAGGTGGTCAAACGCTCAACCATTAACCAAAAAGTTGGCGGTTCAAACCCACTCAGAAGTGCCTCTGAAGAAAGGCCTGGCAATCTGTTCCAAAGACGTCATAGTCACAGAAACCCTTTGGAGCACAGTTCTGTTCTGCAACACATGAGGTTGCCATGTGTCAGGACTGGCAACAACTGGCTTACTGTGTCAAGGGCAGTTCTGAGAATAATAGGGAGAACACAAAAATACAAAGGTATTTTTTGTAACAAGTACAAAGGTACAGATTGCCATACAGTGTAAATCAAAAAGTTAAAGTAGAAGAGAACAGGAGTGTATTTGGAGTCAACTGGGGGTGGTACCCCCCAGATTTCCAGAAGCAGTCACAGTGACATCTTCTTTTTACCTCTAATGTATTCCAGCCTCCCCCATCCCCTGCCCCTAAGACATTAGTCAAAAAGGCAATTCTGAAAACACAGACCTTTTCCTAGTTGGGAAAGTGACTAAAGCCATGCTGCCCATGCTGGATGGTTCTAGGTTAATACTCCTATTTGAGATAACATTTAAGATTTCCAGGGAAACAGACATTTTCAGCACATCGTTTTAGGAAACTACAGACCATTCTGATTTACTAGAAACTCGTTAGTGCTTAATGAAAAACCTACAACTCCTATGAAACTACTTGGGTTTCCATTCTGACTAAACAGGCAGGGGCTGATCTAGGACAAGAAGAGTTCGTAAATTATCCAAGTCCCTAATCAGACAACACTGAAAGCAAAACAATCCCCAAATGCATGAAAGACAGTTTTCCTTTCTTCCTTATTGAAAACTGTACCTTTTATTTTTACAGCTAAGTGATCACCATGCCACTTTTTAACTGCCTTGCATTTTTATAAAACATTCTCATTGACTGTGTGTGATTTTGAGGTTATTGCTGGTACCAGAATCTCCTATGGAAATTTTTCTGGGGATATGTACAAGTGGGAACTAAAGAGATGACACATTCTGAGCATTAAAGGGAGCTCATGGGGCTCTGACTCTGAAGAAAATCACTTTGGTAGATTTGGCTTCTACTAGTCAGTCATCGGTGGGACTAAAACCACTCAAGCCAACCAAGAGGCCGACAACCAAGTTCAAAACTCAAACATCATCAGTTAAGGTAAAGCTGGAGGGTTTGGGGCCACACAAAACACCTCTCCCCGATTTTCCTCTGACACAGATTTGTTATCTTAACACCAGTCTGCCTCTAAAGAGTCCTGGTGAGGAGCAACTGGTAGGGGGCAGGTATCAAAAATGGTATAAAAGTTCAATCATAAGAGTGACTTATCTCATCCCGCTGAAATGTTGAGAAAGTTTACATATCTGCTTTTAGGTCATGATGAAGGAAAAGCAGCATGATCAAACTTGTTGAAACAATGCTGTCTACAACTCTGGAATGTGGGTTTGAGGTATTGGGACAGAGGTCATGCTTTCGAGCTGAACCTGAATTTGGGGCAAATAAACCACGGTTCCTTCAATGCAGTGAGGTCCTGTCTCGTGAACTCTCTTCCTCAACTTTTCCTGTGCCTCACAAAAATCCTTCCATGCTCAGTAGTATCATGTATGTAAGTTCAAGACTGTCTTTCCATAGCTCTCTTAAGTGTCATGGGAGAACCTGCCTTCACAAGAGGCATAAAAGATGCTCCAATGCTTCTGAGGAGAAATCTGAGGCTCTTCACTTGATCATCTGAGTCTCTTCATCTGCATCATAAAACTCCTCTTCTTCACTCTCGCTCCCTAAAGTGCTCTCCTTGTCAGCAGACTGAAACAGGAAAAGAGAAAGTGTGGTGAGACGACATCATGACATTTCTGAAATGAAAACTACTATCTACATATTTCATGGACAAAAGTATTTCTATGATATCTATTCTCCTAAGAATTAGCCCTTCTGATAATGTTAATAAATCACATCTATCATCTTTATGTCTCTGAAAGTCAGCTGCTATTAGATCCTTACTTTTTCACCTTACTTTTCCATCACTTTTACTCAGTTCTATTTAATCTGACCAGAGCATTCTTATTTTCAAAAACTGTAACTATTCAAGTGCAGGATTGCAATGATTACAAAAAAATACCACCATACCTGGGGAGGATCCAAGGTCTGTAATGACAGAGCTTCCTCTCCCAGCCTCCGATAGGAATATACCTGAAGGTCAGAGAATGTCTCCAACAGTGGGCTGTTGAGAGTTTCAGGCAATAATAAACTCAGGAGGCCTGAGGCTAGGCCAGTGGCTCCAAACACAATGAAGGGTAAAGACCACTGTACATATTTCTGCAGGGATAGGGGGCAGAATGAAAACAAACAAAAAGTCAGTGTTTTTTCCCTAGCAGATGATATCAGCAGTCTCCTGATTAAAGAAGTATCATTACTTACTATCTATTTAATCTTCCCATAAGGAGGCCTGGTGGCACAGTGATTAAGTGCTCAAATGCAAACTGAAAGGTTGGCCATTAACCTGCCAGCCACTCCACAGGAGAAAGATGTGGCAGTCTGCTTCCATAAAGATTATAACCTTGAAAACCCTACGGGACAGAGCTACTCTGTCCTATAGGGTTGTTGTGAGTTGGAATCACCTAGATGGCAAGTGGGTTTTTGCTTTTGGTAATGTTCTCACTAGAATCTACTATAGACCAATTTTCTCTCCTCATAGAAAATGGCACTTGGAAGTCACCCAATGACTCATCAGGCATGGGGAGATGGGAGTGAGTAAATAAAAAGGCAGCACTGGTATGTGGATAGGAAGCAGCGGACTGTTTTGTGCATGGGGTAGGTATTGTGGGAGAAAGGGATATGGGCTGTATCTGGGCAGAGCAGCCCTACAGGGTCTGAGATTGCAGGAAATCTGGTGATCAGCTTCCATTCCCACAACAATTTATAACACAATGATTTATTTGTATATGCTCATCACATAGGGGACATCCAAAAGTATTTGTTAATCACAAACTTTGAAGTTCTCAATGTGGAATCAGCCAATTAATCCCAATCCTACATCCCCTCATTGATTCCCTTAACATTATAGCTGAGAGTCACAGAGAAAAAAAGGAATAAAAACTCTAAACAGACTCAGGGAAACGAGAGTACTGGAAATGGAATGACTAGAATACAATTCAAGAGAATATTGACACCTTGTGAAAAAATGTAACTAATGTCTCTGAACAATTATGAAGAAACTGTTAAATGGGAACCTAATTTGTTGTGTAAATGTTCACCAAAAACATAGTAAAACATTATTTAGGGGAAAGAAAGAAAAAAGCTCTGAGTAGAAGAAAAAATTTAAAGAACTTTACCACATACCCAGGGTTTATAAACTGCTTGCAGTGAACATGATAAAGAACAAAGAACTATATTACAAGCAATTATTTCAGAGATACAAAAAGATAATCTCAGGAAAATGTAAGTATTTTCTTTAAATACACACCAAAGATAACAACATACAAAACATTCCTCGTAGGATGTTGCTTTGGGGCCTGAGAACTGATTAACATTCTTGAGTCCAGCACAGAAGCACCTCTGCTTTAAGATCTAGATTGGGCTTCCAGTGCCCACATGGGGAGGGGGGGCATGTAATTCTGTGGGTGGGACCACTGTTAGTTTAAGATTTTCCTTCAGATAATTCTTTCCTGATTTTTCAAAGCTGAAGAGAAGATGGAGGAGGAGAGGGAGAGGAGAGGAAAAGAAAGGAAAGGGAAAGAGGGAGGAGGGAGATGGAGAGGGGGGCGAGGAGGATCTCTTATTTCTAGTCGCCTATCTGCAAACACATGTTCAGCACTGTGTTTGTGTTGCTGAGTCAAGGGGAACACAACATTTTCACCTCTTCTTAACTTAGCAGAAGTCCATAAGACACCAAGAAAATCAAACCAAATTTGTCATTACCTTAAATTAAGCACGAAACATGGAGAGGTAGATATACCCAGAAAAGGGAGAGTATTACAACCCAAAACGTACAAAGAATATAGTACCGTTTCAGAGACAACGCTGTACCATTGAGTAAGTGAGAGCTGTCTACAGAGCAGGTTCATAGGCCCCATGCTGAGAGGAAATATACCCAGAGAACAGGATCTAGTCCCCCTTTGGTTAAGTCTTGGGTAAGAAGCAGTTACAGAACAGACAATGGAGAAAGATGCATACGAATCCCATGGGTTCTTTCACAGAGTATGAGAATTTTAAGACTGGAAGGTTTTTAGGTTCATATCCCTTTTTTTTAACTAAGTCATTTAGAAAATGTCAAAAAACATTAATGGACATACTGCTAAGTATGCTTCTAACTGTTCTTTTCCAAGTAGTGTGCCTTTGGGAAAATATTCACCCTTTTTCTTCTGCATTCATCATCTTTAATATGTGGGTAACAACAATGCCTATATCATACAGTTATTCTGAAGGTTACATGAAATAATATATACATTAATAATATATACATATTTTATTATATATATATATATATATATATACACACACACACACATATAAAGTGCTGTGCATGGAGCCCAGCACATAGCAGAAAATCAATAAATATTTGCTGATTAACTAACTTGAGAATGGAGACAGGAAGGGGTAAGCTGCCATTATTAGACCCTCCAATGTCTACAGGGGAGCTCTGGTAGCATAGTGGCTAAGGCCCTTGACTGTTAACCAGAAGGCTGGTGGTTCAAAGCCACCAGCCACTACTCGGAAGGAGGATGGGGCAATCTACTTCCGTAGCGATACTGCCTTGGAAACCCAAGGAGGGGTCGCTATGAGTCGGGTCCAACTTGACGGCACATAACAACAACAACAACGTCTACAGACTCGAGCAAAAAATCAGACCCATCAGGGATAAAAGCATCCTTGGTAAGAGTTCATTTGCTACTGGATTCTTAGTCTGAAAGGCACGAGGTTCTCCTTGGTGGTGTGATCTTCAATGGCATCTATTCATTACCTCTTTCTATGCAAATCACAAGCATTTCCAAAGCAGAGAATCAAGGAAAACAAAACTAAGAGGTACAAACCAACCAGTGAGGGGATGAAGGGAGCAATGATTCCACCAACTCGGGAGAACATAGAACAAGTTCCGAGCCCAACATTCCTGAAAGACATATGAAAAAGTAGGGAAAAAAAATCAGTAAGTTCTAGCAGGACAGTTTAAAAAATCTGAAGATTAACATATATCTCAAAGTAGAAGTATAAGATCCTATAGAGCAGTGATGTCTGAAATAGAAATTTCTGTAATGATGGAAACATTCTCCAATTACACTGTCCAACATTGTAACCACTAGTGGCTTGTGGCTATTGAGTGTTTGAAATGTGGTGGTGGCACTGAGGAACTGAATTTTTAATTTAACTTAAATAGCCACACAAAGCTAGCAGCTACCCTATTGAGAACCAAACATCTGAGTATTTTTGCCAAGTGTTTTTATGTTTTTTTGCCTCTTAGGTTTCCTATCAGTTAATCCTGCCATAGAGATGCACAGCTTTATGATCCAAAAAGTCTGTCCAGTTAATTAAACTCAACTAATTAACTATTTAATGGTCAGGGATATAAAAAGGAGTTGAACTGAGCATGTATTCTCAGGAAACCAAGTACATTACTTTCCTGGGGAGTGCGGGTGTGAAAGAGTTGGGAAGGAATGAGGGAGCATGACATCAGTCCTAAGTAGGCTGACCCTGTTATCCCAGCCTAATTATCAATAATGACCTTACTACATCCTTGGACAAAATGACCACCTTAGCTTTAGAGCCAATGGCCAACAGAAAGTAGGCTGTAGACACAAATAAATGACTAACTAGTCACAGACAATCTGATTTTATGTTGGGAGAAAAAAATTTTAAATGAACAAGTAGAAAGAAGCATTAGGCTTCTTGTATGAATAAAGAAAAGACAAGGATTCATTCAGAATGATTCTTTGAAAAAAAAAAAAAAAGACCAAAAAGGCCGGCTAAGAAAATAAGGGCCTGACCCACAGAGGTGGTTTTGTAAAGTTTCTGCACCTTCATGACTTTGGGTTCATTATTTTTAGTTTTCAGACTTATTCTAAGGGGAAATTTAGGATGGAATATGTTCTTTCAGACGTAAGTTAGCTCTACTCACTGAAAACTACATTTAACATCTAATATTTTAAGTCTAATATTCATGTATTACCACGTGAAATTACTTTTTAAAAAATTTTGCATATTTGTTTGTTCATCTGCTCTCTCGAAATGTAGGCTCTGTGATAACAGGGACCTTGTCCCTTTCTCTGTCATGTGCCTGGCAAAGGTAAACGAAATTCACAGAAACAAAAATATCAGAGCACTATCTGAGTGATGGATTTATTTAGTGTAGAGCTGAATTTACACAAGGAAACTCAGATAAAACTACATTTTCCTCAGCCAAGGAAGCAAGAGTAGTCAACAGAGACAGCCGCTATGCTTATAACTCCCTGCTGAGGTGCTGGGGACCCCATGATAACTATGCTCCAGAAGAAATGAGAACCATACCATCTCCTTATGGAAGAGTCTACAACAAAATGCACAGCGTGACTTTGGGTGGCACGTACCTGATAACTGTAGGGTAAAGCTCAGAGGTGTAGATATAAACAATATTAAAGGCAGCACTGATGGTCAGCTTCCCCAGCAAGGACAAGGAACGGCTGTTCACCACCGCAAACACACCTGTGCCTGAGGAGGGCAAGTGCAACACCTGTGAGAACTTCAGTTGATAAAAATTATTTTAGATGGTACAGTTCGTGTTGAAGGAATGAGTCATTAATGCTAATCTCAAACAATAAAGAGGTAACATAATTGAATCCACACCGAGAAGGGTTAAAATTTCACATAATCACACACACAGATATTTTCTCACTGTTTTGGTCACACCCACAAATCTTGCATGTGATTAAACTTGCAACCCGAATGACGGAGCACCCTGAAAATTTCTGTACCGTACAAAGTAATCTCAATCAATATCTTAAGTTCTGTCTAGCAAGGGCAATACCAACATTCCTTTCTTCCCAATCTTGTTTAACAATCGATGTGTATTTGTGGCATGTGAGGAGAATAAGCCTGACTGATGTAAGAGGCAGAGGCTGGTCTAGAAAATTGCTATCTTAAATCTGTACTTCTTGGTGTTCTGTTCAGAAGATATAAAAAAAAAAACCCAACCCAATGCACTACCACTGAGTCATAGCGACTGTATGAGAAGATAAGGAATACCAAAACCAAACCAAGCCTAGTGTCTTAGCGTTAATTCCAACCCCTGGCAACCCACATGTTACAGATTAGAACTGTTCTAAAAGGTTTTCTTGTCTACAATCTTTATGAGAGCAGATTACCAGGCCTTTCTTCTGTGACACTGCTGGATGGGTTCAGACCACTAACTTTTAGGTTAGTAGTCAAGTCCATCACCTAGGGGCCTCAGATAAGGATTGTTGTTGTTAGGTGCCATCCAGTCAGTTCTAACTCATGGTGACACCATGTGTACAGAGTAGAGCTGCTCCATAGGGTTTACAAGGCTGGGACTTTTCAGAAGCAGACTGCCAGGCCTGTCTTCCAACGTGCTTCTGGGTAGGTTTCAGTTGCCAACCTTTCACTGAACCACTTCCATTTATACCACTCCGGGACTCCTAGATAAGAATAATCATTTTAAATTACCACCAGCAAATATATAAGACATTAATGTTCTTTAAAGAACAAGACTTTAAGCATAGAAGTAGCTTCAATTCTTCCTCCTCCCAAACTTCTCACATGAATTACTAACAACATGTGAGGTTTTTAATGGAAATTTTTTGCATAAAATGCAAAAATGTTTTATGACAATTCATTTCCTTATCCAAAATACTATTGATTGTTCTGTGGTTCTTTATTAACATGATCTTCTCTGGGACACCACAATTTAATTATTCTCTTTCACACATATTTAACTTCTCCTTTTCAGTAACTTATTTGCCTTTGCCTTCAACATAACACAATTTTGTCTTCCAAAGGAAAAAAAAAAATTCACATTGACTCTGATGCACTTTCTTCCATGAATACTGAGCATCTCCAATGAGTGGCCGCCACTCCATTTCCTCAAATGCATCTGCCCATAACTCCTACTATCAGCTTGCAATACCATCTTCTCTGGAAACTCCTGCTCTTGAAGGTTAACAGTGATGTCCTAATCATCAGTAGAATTGCCTCTCATTCTTCTTGACATTTCTGCCATATAGAACATTCTTGTCCTCTTCCTTGGGACTCCATTGCTCATATAAACCACTTCTCTCTTGAGCAGCTCAAATGAAATATCCTCTCCTTCCCTTGACCTCCACTGCCTTATTTTCCAATTCATTCAACAAGCCTGCTTCAGACACTCCTTTGTAGTTACTTACTTTTCCATCTCATCTGCTCAAATATATTTTGAGTTCCTTTGGCTTAAGGTTGGTATCTTGTTTGTGTTCCTCACATCATGTCCCATAGTACTATGCACATCAGTCTTTACTAAATATCTGGATAGACTATGATAGAAATTAATTTAGTAAAATAATATCTGTGTTAATGCCCTCTCCATCTCATTCTAAAAAACAAGAGCCACCTTCCATGTTCAACTGTGAAATAAATCTTCATCCATTTTAAGGATAGAGTCATGAACACAGTGGCCCAGGCACTGCCAGACTCGACCACCTGAGGCTATTCTCCCCTCTTCTGCCAGGCTATTCAGCTGTATTTTTAAGCCATGAGGCACTTCTTAAAAAAGAGAGAGAGAGAGAGAGAGAGAGAGAAAATCACATCTTTCTGAATTTACACTGAGATATGTGTCTAGACTTTTGAGATTTAACAACTTCTGCATTTAAACCAAAAATTAGGGCAAATTAAACTCATTAATTATTTCCCAGAAAACTGAGTGAGTCAGGAAAATGTATTAAGTGGCAATGAAACAAACAAATGGGCACATTTGCTTGACTGCAAATGATCCTCTGGTACTGTTTTCAACCTATACAGGATGACATATTTCAGAACAGTTCAATTTCTCAATTCAGCAAGCACACCAGACTTTGCTGGGATCCCCTTGCCTGCACTGTGGCCTGAAAACCCTGAGCTGAGGTCCTCTCAGAACTCACTTTGTTTCTCTTCTCTCAGGATCACTGTTCTGCACAGATTGTTGTCCAATGTCCAAAAACAACACTGTTTGTATTTTGTCTGGTTTGACAGTTGTTTAAAGCAAGAGGACAGCTGTTCCCATTACTGTCATGGCCATAAGTGAAAGTCACCTAGCATTTTATTGTCAATTCTCATATGGTACCTTCTTTTATTGTTATTTTTTGAATCACTAACTTCCCTCACTAGATTGTAAGCTCCTTCAGGCCAGGAACTGAGTCTTGTTCATGAACAGTATCTTGTATATAGCAGAAAGTAGATGACTAAAGAATGAGCAAACCAAAGTTGAGAAAATAAATGAGGTATTAAGATTCTATAGAGCCACTGGGGTTCCACTGAGGACACATTCTTCAACTATTAAACTTCCTTATGTAGTCATGTGTCCTGACTTCTGCATATTCAGATTCTCTGGCAGGAACACAACTTATGTCAATAAGAGCCCAGAACCACTCTGACAACCCTGGCCAATTCCCCATCAGTCCTGCCCACTGAAGAGTAAAAAACTGAGCCTCATCAGGCAGCATGAATCTTCTAAGACCATAGCTTCACCATCTGCAATGAATACTGTGGTTCTAAGTAGGCTTGGTGGTGTAAATAGTTAAGGGTTTAGCTGCTAACCAAACAGTTGGTGGTCTGGACCCACTCAGAGGCTCGACAGGGGAAAGACTTGGCAATCTACTTCTATAAAGATTCCAGACAAGAAAATCCCATGCGGGCAATGGCACTCTTATATGGGGTCTCTATGAGATGAAATCAATGCTATAGCATCGAAGAATATTAACACTTTGGTTTTAAAACTCTAGGAGGGAAAAATAACATTTCTAAAAGAACACTACTTTTAGTCTGAACTCCAGATGTGGTAATTACTTGCTGTGAAACATTAAAATAGGAATAATATCTAATATGTCTTGCATTTGAAGAGAATCCAGCACGTAGTCAACATTTAATGGATGTTCACCAGTATTATAAACTTAATTATGATCCTTTAAATAAGGATAGAGACCAGATTAAATTTATGATGACCAATTTGTGGAATACGTTACAGGTAGCCCCCCGACTTATGATGGGGTTCCATTCCAATGACTGTCGTAATCTGTTCTGATGTTAAGTCTAGTACCTCATTTTTTTCCAGTTTTCATTATTATGGCCTTTTATTATCAGTACCTTTATATATCTGATCTTTGTCTTTAGGGGTTGGCATGAAAACAATAACATCAGCAAAGTACACATTGCATCACTCTATATAGTACATATTACTACTGATAAGATGTACAAAAAAAGAAAAATGGACAGTGCAGTTTGTCATAACTTGAATATGTCATAAGTTGAGGAATACTTGTAGTGACCACCTGGTAAAATTTTCCTCAGAGAATAACATTTTCTTGGAGGTTGGCCAGCATATAAATATGTACAAGGAAGAACACTTTTGCCTAATAATTACAAACCACAGGCTGAGGAATGGCAAGAAATCTATTTTCTAGCTTACTGGCTATCTTTCTTAGAGATATGTCATAGTTACAGATGCAGACAGCTATAATCATATAAAAAACCAGAAACCAAACCCATGGCCACTGAGTTAATTCCAACTCATAGCAACATCCATAGGGTTTCCAAGGCTATAAATCTTTACAGAAGTAGGTTGCCTCATCTTTCTCCCACAGAGCAGTTGGTGAATTAGAACAACTGACCTTCTGGTGAGCAGGCAAGTGCCTTACCCATCACATCCCCAGAGCTCCTTATAATCATATAGATGCCACAAAAAGTGAATAGAAGGGCACATGGTTGGCAGAATGGAGAGAATGAATCCATGTTTGGTAGGAAAAAATGAGGGCAAATGAGCACACAAAGGAGTGTGAAAACTAGTGGTCTCCAAATGAACACAAGATGCTAGTAGAATTTTTCAAATTTCTAGGTATCCTTCATATGTCTTTAGCAGTGCTTCGATAATATGTAGTTTAGAGCTCAGAAGTTTGAGGAAGAAAAACCCCAAGAGATTTCAAAGAAAGCCATCAAAATATTTTCAAGAGTAAATATCAAAGATTCAAAAAAGTTTAGCTCTAAGTATTTTTAAGTTCAAAGAAGGTAAGATTCAAGACTAGCTAGATGACTCTCTGCAAGTTTAGAAAGGATTATGCCAAAAAGGGGGGTGGCTGTCTGTTTTCTATCTCAGGTAACGAATAAAATGAAAGAAAATGACTCAGTTGTGGGAGGAGAGGATCAAAGTAATGGTTATAATAATAGAAATAATTTACTAAAGGTCATTAGGGAACATCTTTCCCTGAAAATCATTAAAGACAGACTAGACATCCACTCTTCTAAATATAATAATAATTAAAAAAAAAAAAAAACCACTGCTGTCGAGTTGAATCCAACACATAAGAGACCCTATAGAATAGAGCAGAACTGTCTCCATAAGGTTTCTAAGACTGCAAATCTTTATAGAAGCAGACCACCACATCTTTCTCCATGGAACAGTTGGTGGGTTTGAACTGTTGACCTTTTGGTTGGCAGCTGAGCACTTTAACCACTCTGCCAGCAGGACTCATCTAAGTATAGTAGAGAATCATATTCCTGACACACATTCACAGAATGTACAAAGTACTTAGTTTTGCTGTTTCTTCCCAGTGCCCACCCAGGAGTACAATCATAAAAAGGTTCATGCAGGGTTTTGAATCGGTTCTTCCCAGTTCAGTTATGGCTGACGAAGCAAAACTGGAACAGACTGAAATTTGTAAAATGCAGGTATACTGGAGCAACAACCAGAATGGGAAAAATTACAGGTCAATGCACTGCAAGAAACATAATCTCCTTCTTAGAAAACAAAGGCAGCATGTGCATTACATGGCAACCAAATTTCTTTACTGGCAGAGTCAGAAACAATGGTGTCCAGCTCAAAGATGGCAGGCTACTGTGCCACTTTGAGTTTGTGTGTCACTCTCCATAGTCCTGGCAATAATCAAATTTCCCACATTAGGCTCCTGAAAAGGATCACTCTGCCTTTTCCAAGTCTCCCATTCCAGCGCTTTGACCTGTAATTTTTTTTCATTCCAGTTATCAGTCTGATATACCCATTTTACAAATTCAGGTCTGCTCTGAATTCTATTGTATCAGTCATGACTCAACTGGTTTGAATGAGTTCAAAGCCCTAGTTCAAGCTGTTCTCTTAAAATCGGCTGGAAGTGAGGAAAGAAGTGATTACTGATCTAAATAAATCTACATTCACTTTGGGTTTTCACTTCGCTGTTTATATGAAGTAATTTCAGGAAAAGGTCATATGCAATTTTAGAAGTGTGTTAGCTGTCATGTGCAAATATGTAGAAGAGAGGAAAGATATAAATGGCCTGGCTTACAGAGGTCTGATAGGTTACTGGTGTATTTACGGTAACAATGAAAAGATTTTCTCTACAAAGTGATAAATAGAACAAAACTCAAAAAACCAAACTCACTGCCATTGAGTTGATCCCGAGTCATAGTGATCCCTCCTTGGGTTTCCAAGGTGGTATCTCTATGGAAGTAAATTTTCCAATCTTCCTTCCAAGGAGTGGCTGGTGGCTTTGAATTGTCAGCCTTCTGGTTAGCAGTCAAATGTCTTAGGCACTATGCCACCAGGGTTCCGTGGTAAATAAAACAGTGGACTGTTAAACCCTAACCCACTGCCGTGGAGTCAATTCCAACTCACAGCAACCCTCATAAGGTTTCCAAGGCCATAAGCTCTGGTAGCATAGTGGCTAAATCACTTGCCTGCTAACCAGACGGCTGGCGGTTCAAACCCACCAGCCACTCCTCGGAAGGAAGGTTGGGCAATCCTACTTCCGTAGTGATACTGCCTCGGAAACCCAAGGAGGGGTCGCTATGAGTTGGGGCCGACTCGACGGCACATAACAACAACAACAAATCTTTATGGAAGCGGACTGCCTCATCTTTCTTCCTCAGAGTGGCTAGTGGGTTCAAACTGCTGACCTTTTGGTTAGCAGCCCAGTGCCTTGACCACAGTGCCACTAGAGTGGACTTTTAGGCATTGGAAACAACTGAATTCTTATGTGGCCTATGAAATACAAAGGCTGCTGAATATAAAGCTACAATGATTTGAAGCCTCAGACAAGAGCTGGGCACTTAGGTCTATGAGCCCATGACAGGCAATAGCTGAGGAGTTTCTCCTCTACCTAGCACTAACAGAGGGATCAGTTTTCTTAGAGAACAGGAAATAGGCAAACTTAATAAACTCTCTAGTTTCCGTGATTCCATGAAAATCATCATAAGGATGTTATAAACACTGGGTAGAATCCTAACAAGTGGGCAGTCTGCACTCTGAGTTCAAGGCACAGAATCGCAGCCAGCAACTATCAACACATTAGGTATATAGCAGAGTTATAAAACAGGTAGATCCCATGGCTTCAGGGTCTTCAATGAGATATTGGTAAAACTTAGCCTCAAGGAGCATTTAATGAATGTTATGCTGTGGCAAGAAATGAATCCTCCAGCTGATTTCCAGTACTTACCGAGACTTTATGTTAAAATATCTCACAATGATTCTCATCTCAAATGCAAATTCCATAATGGAGTCCTATCAAAATCTAAAAACCCACATGTGGGGCTTTTGTTGTATCATACGTCACAGAAGTAGATTTTGTTATGACCCACTCCTCACTGTTGAAAATCACTGTGCAGTTCCCCACACAATAGCTGGCATGCCTCAGGTGTGCTGGTACCAAAAAGGCTGAGAACCAGCAGTAGCCACAGAATTTCTATAGAAGGGCAGTGATCAGCTTAGACAAGGATGCCAGAGGGACTTTCTGTGAAGTCGTGTTTGCATAGCAAAGCTATAAATATATAAAAACACCAAGGTTTTCCGAAGATATTTTATTCATACTTTATGTAAGACTGAGAGAATGCTGATTATCACCAACAGTAAGTATTTTTGATGTTGTTGTTACTGGGGTGGCCTGGGAATACTGAAGGAGGTATCAAGGGGTGCCAAGGCCACCATTTAGAGCCAGTGTTCTATGATCTTGCAATTGGCTGGGATGAAGAGTGCAATCTGCAGTCTTGGACAGAGTTTCTGTCTATGCAGAACAAACCGGCCTACATCATCATCAAATAAACAACTCTACCCTCACTGTACTGCATCCCAGTCACCCAAGATGGTAGCTTAATAGCCTGAAAGAATTAATAGTGCACCTCTAAGCACATTATTCACCCAGAGAATAGTTTAGGCAATGGAAAGAATCTGGCCCATTATACCCCACACAATTGCTAAATAATATGCAATCACAGAAATGAAGCCTGGCATATGGTAATCTCTCTACTATATTGAGATTCATTGTAATAAAACTGCTGTTCAAAACCCTTGTAGAAATGTGAAAGGCATACCTTTCTTTTCTGGAAGGAACATTACAATAAGGCAGGCCAGTCCTCCAAGGCACAGAAATGCTGCTAACGTCCGCTTCCGACCAAACCTAAGTAATCAAAAGCAATGACACATTTCTATTGGGAATCTTATGAATTTAGCTGCTTCTTCCATCCAAGCTTCCTTTTTAAATGTTCTTGGTTTCATCACATATGCTTATCTTTTTCTTAAAAAAAAGTGTGGTTAGCAAATATGACTTGACCAGCAGAATGACAAGGATATAAAATAAATAACCATCATACAACAAAGGAAAACTGGGGGGGGGGGGCAGGATCAAATGATGTGTGAGGAATAGGGCATCAAGTAACACTATCTCCTCAAGTGTTTACTGTGTTCCAGGCACTGTTTTAAATGCTTTCCATCTATTTTCTTATTTAACCTATTAACAAACCTGTAAGTCTTCATTTTATAGAAAATGAAACTCAAGCATGGAGAATGGATTCTTCTAGTTCATGACATTTTGTGGTTACCTGAAAAAAGAGCTCTGCTGATGGTTAAGGCATTTGGCTGGTAACCAAAAAGTCAGAGGTTGGAACCCATCAGCCACTCTGTGGAAGAAAGATGGGGCATTCTGCTCCCATAAAGACTGACAGCCTTGGAAACCCAGTGAGGGTTGCTATGAGTCAGAATCGACTCAATGGCAGTGAGCTGGGGTTTTTTAGTTTGGTTACCTGAACTTAAACAGTTAAAAGTTTGAAACACTGTTAGAATAAGCCTCCTCTCTTAAAAGTACAAGCAGAAAAAAATTTCTTGTTAATAGGTCAGAACTAAGTGAAATTTATTGTACACTTTATTGAGAGAAGTACTTTTTAAGTAAGGGCTTTAAGGTAGAAGAAAGATATTAAAACTTACAAGCTGCCCTTTATTAAGGGCCTGCTAGAAATGTCAACATTTTAATTTTTAACGTTTCTGCCAGGTAGATTTTATTTATTTTTAATTTTTTTTTTTTTGCAGTGTTCCCTCCCCTCCTCTCCCACCCCTGGTAACCAACAAAGAAAGTTTCCTTCCATATATAAATCTTTCTTTGACTTTTACAATAACAGATTAATACAATATTTGTCCTTCTGTGATTGACTTATTTCACTCAGCATAATGTCCTCCAAGTTCATCTATGTTATGTGGTGTTTTGCAGATTCTACATTATTCTTTAGTGTTGCATAGTATTCCACTGTGTGTATGTACCATAGTTTGGTCATCCCTTCTTCTGTCGACGGGCACCTAAGTTTTTTTCCATCTTTTTCCTATTGTAAATAGTTCTGCAATGAACATGGGTGTGCATCTATCTGTACTTGTCCTTTGGCAGGTAGATTTTAAAATCTCTAGTTTATCGATGAGTACATGGAGATGTAGTTGAAGTCATATGGCTAGAATATGGGAAAAGCAGATAGAAATTCAGGGGTGCCTGATCCCAAATCTGACATTGCATCTCTCTGCTTTATGTTTTAATCTTAATTCTCTGGTGGCAACTGCTAGGAGACAGTGAAGGTTTGAGTCTCCTTTCCTGTGTCATTTTGCTTAATTTAACAATCATTTCCAAATGCCTTTCAAGTGTCAGGCGTCATGCTCAGCAGGCACCAGTGATGCAGAGATGTATAAAATACACACACAGTCATAGCACCCTTGTAACGCTTGAAGTGACTGTCAGAAGCATGCAGGAGAAGCTAAAGCAGAGCCAAGAAAGGACATTTGGTACAACTGGGGATGTTGGGGAAAGACGTCTTCACATGATATCTGAGCCAGCTCTTGGAGAATGACAAGGGTAAGCTGCAGTCATTAATAGAGGGGTCAGCAGAGGCAACTGGGAATTCTCCCTAATAAAAAAGGCCTTCCATTTAACAGAATCCAAATGGGCCCTACAAAATGTTCCAAACAAAATATGTATGAGAACAGCACCAAGTTCAATGTGAAATGAAGCCTGTTTTCGGTTAAAATGATAATTTCTGCGAAACGAGAAATGGCATAATCCAACTGATTCCTAACTTATACAGGACAGGATTTTCAGTTGTCCTAAGAAGCTATCTGAGGAAAGGTACTCTGTAAAACAACTTTTACAAGTATTTTAAAGGCATGCCCCCACCATTTGTCTGTGGTGACATAAGATCAAAAACTGATGGTAATGAAGAAGTCCAAGTTGCACTGAAGGCAATTGGTAAAAAACAAGACTCCAGTAATTGACAGAATACCAATTGACATATTTAAGCAAAGGGATGCAGCACTGGAGGTGCTTGCTAGTATATGCCAAGAAGTTTTGAAGACAGCTACCTGGACAATCATCTGGGAATGATCCATATTTGTACCCATTCTAAAGAAAGGTGATCCAAGAGAATGCAGAAATTATCGAACAATATCATTAATATCACATGCGAGTAAAATATTGCTGAAGATCATTAAAAAATGGTTATAGCAGGAAACTTCCAGAAATTCAAGCCAGATTCAGAAAAGAATATGGAACTAGGCTATCACTGCTGATACAGGATCGATCTTGGCTGAAAGCAGAGAATATCAGAAAGATGTTTACCTGTGTTTTACTGACTATGCAAAGACATTTGACATTATGAATCATAGCAAATTATGGATAAAATTACAAAGAATGGGAATTCCAAAACACTTAATTGTGGTCATAAGGAACCTGTACATAGACCAAGAGGCTGCTGTTAGAACAGAACAAGGGGATATTGAATGGTTTAAAATCAGGAAAGGTGTGTATCAGGGTTGTATCCTTTCACCATACTTATTCAATTTATATGCTGAACAAATAATCTGAGGAACTGGACTATATGAGGAAGAATGCAGCATCAAGATTGGAGGAAGAGTCATTAACAATCTGCAATATGCAGATGATACAACCTTACTTGTTGAAAGAAAAGAGGAGTTGAAGCACTTACTGATGAAAACAAAGGACTACGGCTTTCAGTATGGATTATACTTCAACATAAAACAAAACTCCTCACAACTGGACCAATAAACAAGTTCATGAAAAAACAGAGAAAATATTGAAGTTGTCAAGGATTTAGTTTTACTTGGATCCACAATCAATGTCCATGGAAGCAGCAGTCAAGAAGTCAAATGACGTATTGCATTGACTGCAAATCTGCTGCAAAAGACCTCTTTAAAGTGTTAAAAAGGAAAGATGTCACTTTGAAGACTAAGGTGTGCCTGACCCAAGTCACAGTAGTTTCAATTGCCTCAGGACATGCAAAAACTGGATAATGTATGTTGTTGTTGTTGTTATGTGCCGTCACAGAAAAAAGAATTTTTGCCTTTGAATTATGGTGTTAGGAAAGATTATTGAAAATACCATGGACTGCCAGAACAAACAAATCTGTCTTGAAAGAAGCAGAGCCAGAATGCTCTTTAGAAGTGAAGGTGGTGAGACTTTGTCTCTTATACTTTGGACAAGGAGAAGGACATCATGCTTGGTAAAGTAAAGGGTCAGCAAAAAAGAGGAAGACCATCAATGAAATGGACTAACACAGTGGCTACAACAACGGGCTCAAATATCTCAATGATTATGAAGACAACACAGGTCTGGGTAGTGTTTGGTTCTGTTGTGCATGAGTCACCATGAGTCTGAACTAACTCAATGGCCCCTGACAACAACAAGAACAAAACCATGCCCACTGACGAAGAATAGCAAAGTAGGATATGTTCTCTCCCTCAACAAAATAAAGTGGCTCTTGGGAGGAAAGAAAAGTCTAATCCCTTGGTCATTTGTCTTCTTATAAAAACTTTTAAATAACATTAACTGGGTTGATGGCTTCTAGCTACACAGAACTAGTAATCTATCTACTGTGACTAACAAATTACACACACAGAGCCTACTCAAAAACCTTTATTTGGTAATGCTTGTCAATGCTGGATTGAAATCTATATAAAAACTAGTAAAGATGAAACTCAAGAAATACTAAGGTAAAAAGTGTATTCTGACTGCATTGGGCCTTAGAGAAATTCTTATTACATGGAACAGCTAGCAAATACTCCATATGGACAGAGACAATAATATTTAGGTATGTATGCACTTCAGAAAGTGAGAGAGAAAGAATTCTATGTGGTCCACTTCATAGTCATCTACACTCACCATTTTTGGTTAATCAAGTAGATGCAGATAGGGTATGATGGAATCTCTATGAGGCCAGACAGGGCCAGGTTGGCATAAATACTTCCACCTAGATCACCTGCACTCAGAGTCAGGCCATAATACACCAAGCTGCACACAAACCTGCAATGAGAAGTCAAAGGACAAAAAGGACAACTGAGAACACAGAATTATTTGCTGGAGAAGATAAAAATACTGGTTTAATATAGTATGATCTGCCACAAGCAATATGCTTGACTCTCCCACTAACCTTTCTACTCTAATCTAAATTCCTAAACTAAGGAAAAACAACAACAACAACAAAATAAATAAATAAAGGAGGTCTTGGAAATGCTCTGTGCAAAATCTATATGCTATATGATGGTGGGCCAGCCCCTGAAGAGCAAAGCCATTATTTGAATATACTTAAGTAAAGTATTTCTGCATTTCTTAGAAGACAACGACCCTCTTCTTACTTTATTTAACTCAACAATTTATGGGGCACTTGCTTTAGGTAGTTGTTGTGATATTATCAAAGTAATTCTAGAAAAAAGCTCCCATCATGGTGAAGCCAACAGAGGATGGTGTTGAGAAGTGGGCTGAGAAGGGATTAAGACCATCACTGGGACACATGTAGGCCAAGTATGGCTGGCACTCCACCCACTGATGATTCAGTCACTTCCAGGGGTTTTAGTGGCTGACATTTCTACTCCGACACACATGGGCTTGCTGTTAGTCAGCACTGGCTCGATGGCAACTGAGCTGGGTAATGATAATGTCAGGAGAAGAGCATGGGGAGGAGGGGAGAGGGCACCCCAGGAGCTAAACTGATTAGTGGTTTGTCCTTCTCTAGCAAATGCTTCAGAGGCAGCAAACTTCCTAGTACTTCTGACTGGGGTAGATCTATCACTAGTCTATTAAAGATGAGCAGTGCTGTTGCCAGGAGATAATGTACAAGGATGAAAGGTGACACTGAACTGTATGTGTTCCCTGTTCCCTACTCATCTTGCATGTATGTTGTAGATTAAACAAATTTAAATCCATGCAGTTTTCTAAAATATTTTAAAAATCTTTTCTACCTATGATAGAGACCCTCGTCTTATGTAATGCTATAACCTAATATGTCATATGTGCTAGCATGACTCTTCTCTGTATTTAAACAGCCTTGGTGGTGCAACAGTTAAACACTCAACTCCTAACCCAAAGGTTGGTAGTTCGAACACACCCAGCAGCTCAGTGGAAGAAAGACCTGGTGATCTGTTCCCATAAGGATAACAGCCCGGAAAACTCTATGGGGCAGCTCTACTCTGTCACATGGGGTCATTATAAGTTGAAATTGACTCAACAACACACAGCAACAATTCTGTATTTAAATTACATTTCCAGTGAATTAATTCCAGCTGTGAAAATGCACATACTTATTTAAACCAAATTGTGATAGTACTGGGCCAGGGCAAAAATGCACAAAGTCAGTTCAGAACAGTATAGGAACTGAATTACCAGCTGATGGGAGAGAACAGGGACATGCAGGGTAAGGAGGCCCTATTGTCCCCCGGGCTGGGCCTCTGTTCTGCAAGTCTCCTTGATGGCAGTTAGTCATTGGGATCCATAATTACAGCTATTAAAAGTATTCCAATCCTCTTTATGTGCCCCAAACAAAATTTAAAATGCTAGCATAATATTTAACAGTATAGTTAGAGCATCAAAGAACTATTTAGGGCAGCACTATTCTGGAAAATAACCAAAGGAACAGATGTTAAACACAGAGGTATAATTTTACTCCCCAGTTAAGGTCTTCTTCAGTGACAGATCCACAGAAAAGATTTTAGAATTTTATAGCATCTTCAAAACAAACAGCACTATGTGGAATGGCATTGTCTCTATTATCATTCTGAGCCCAGAGGGGAAGAAGTTTATTTGAGAAGAACTCATTTGGCTGTGTGAGACATAAAATAAACAGAAGGCATCTCCTTGGCTCTAAATCTAGCTGTTGTTTTTTTTTTTGTTTGTTTTTATTAATCCCCTGAAGGCCAGAACCCAAAAGTATTATGCCTGGGGGAAAAAAAATTAAACAAAAATAAAAAAGAGTAAATAATCTTCAACAATCAGGTCTTCCTCCTAAGCAGAAAGTTTGACTGACTGTCTGTATGATATGTAAACGCAGAGTTTTATGGAGCCCTAAGTACCTGAATAGGAGCTCTGGTAACATAGTGGCTAAAGCACTTGACTGCTAACCAGAAGGCTGGTGGTTCAAACCCACCAGCCACTCCTCGGAAGGAAGGTTGGGCAATCCTACTTCCATAGTGATACTGCCTCAGAAACCCAAGGAGGGGTCGCTATGAGTCGGGGCCGACTCGACGGCACATAACAACAACAACAACAAGTACTTGAATGAGGAGCGGTAGTGGCCAATGGTCAAGGCATTAGGTTGCTAACCAAAAGGTCCAGCAGTTTGAATCTACCAGCTGCTCCGTGGGAGAAAGATGTGGTAGCTTGCTTCCATTAAGTTTACAGCCCTGGAAACCCTATGGAGGCAGTTAACTCTGTCCTGTAGGGTTGCTGTCAGAATGGACTTGATAGCAGCAAGTTTGGTTTTGGTTTAAGGACCTGAATATACTTTATGAGTATTAGTTTTTGAATAGATAGAACCTCAAATTAGTAAGTCCTATGCTGTGTTACTAGGTTTGGCTTTCATCAGCTCTTTTAATCTTCATGCTTCTAAGCTTGTGTCCTTCATTCAATATTTAGTATGCATCTGTAATATTCCAGCCCAATGCTGGTTCTGTGAGGAAAGCAGAGGTCGTGTGACATGGCTCCTGACCATACAGATGGCAGGCAGTGCTTGGGTAAGAAAAAAGAATCATGATAAAGGAAAATATTTCTGTAGGTTTGATTCTCAATTTACTATCTTTATACATAAAATCGCTTTCCCTATTCCCACATGATAATATATATTTATTTCCATTAGCCATTATGGCAAATACATATAAACCACAACCTAACAGTCCTTTGGGCCAGTAGGGATGTCTGCACTTTAGCAGAATGTACAGTATTAAAACATATGAGCAATCCACAAATTATGTATCTTGCCCATCCATTTCCCCTCTTTCTACAATTTCCTTTGTTAAACAGAACCAACTTGAACTATTCAATGCAACTTGTATCAATGCTGAGAACACTGTGAGAGGCAGGTTGGAATAAGCTAAACAACTAGAAAATCAGGTTCTAAAAGTGCTCATCAGTTGGTTGGTTCACTGATTTGCTTATGTGGCTTTGGGTCCATCATTTCAAACTCCCAGGACTCCATCTGCACAAAGGATAACATATAGCCCACCTCTGTGAGTTAGTGAGCAGTGAGGTTTTGGACTGTTTTAGAATAGTGATATGTTATTCAGGAGGTAGGGATTATATTAAAGTTCTGATGGTGCAGTGGGAGTGCTACATAAAATGTTGTGCAGAGCACAGGATTAGAATGTACTACCCAACTGCTTAGTGCCAAACCAAGTAGGTATCTTTAAAATCCTGTCTAAAGACTCTTCTGTTTCTGGTATGCTCCCTTCCTTTTCTTTTCTTTTGCTTAAATATATACATCAAATATCTCATGCGCAAGGATGTATTTCTGATGTCTGCTGACTCAAGTTCAGTAAACCTGCCCATTAGTGACTATCATCTCTGGCACAACACTAGGTACTAAGGGGAAAGGGCATTGTCTCTGGTATAACTACCTCATGATACAAAAGAGGAAACATTTTCCATAACTCAGAAGAAGGAACTGATTATCAATAGACCTTCAGCAACCTGAGTTGCTGAAGATCAACAAAATGCCCCTTATATATATTTACCAGATGAACATCAGGATCAGAGTGTGTCCCAAGAGGATTCGATAACGGAACAGGTCCAGAAAACTTCCAGTCTCCTTGGAGCTCCTGTTGGCTGGGTGTGTTAATGAAAAGGTGCACTTGAGCTTGCGGTTCCTCTTGGCAATGAGGTATAGTGCCTCTTCGGCCTCACTCAGTCGACCCTGGGAGTATAACCAACGGGGTGATTCAGGAATGAATCTGAAAGAGATGTCATTAAAGGCTGTATATTCATATAGGTACACATGCATAGGAAGGAGATAAATCACCTACTCAGCATATGCGTTCCCTCACCACAACTGTATCCCACCTTAGGTTTCAAGCTTGACTTTCTCAATGACATGCATGTGTGAGAGAGGGCTACTTTGAACAGTATGCCAATTTTATGTATAAAAAAGCAAGAATACGTTTTCATTAGCAGCAAAAAAAAAAAAAAGGAAATGATACGCATTATTTTTGAAGTTTAAAGTTTTAAGTGTTTATATGTGAAGGGCAAGTTACTAAGTTTATGATACTGAGTAACATGAATAATAAGTAAAAGATATGGTTCTAAATCTGCTTATGCTAATGGTGGTGGGACATTTTGGAAAAGGATAGCAATAATGGTGGCACAATATAAAAAATGTCATCAATGTCCCTGAGCTGTAAATGGGGTAGTTGTTAGGCTGGCCAATGTCTTGTTGTGTATATTTTCACCATAATAAAAGTTAAAAAAGAAAAAAAAGATATGGCTATAAATCCTAGCTGTGTATTGTTAGAATCACACCCTAGATACACTGTTTTTGTTTTTATTAAGTTCCAAAAAGCCTCACAAAGAAAACACAAGTCTTTATTATCTTATCATAAAAAATAAATTTTTAAAAAGTGAGTGGTTTTAGAGGATCCCTGGTGGCACAGTGGTTAAAGCACAAAGCTGCTAACCAAAAGGCCAACATGTAGAAGCCACAGCCACTCCATGGGAGAAAGATGTGGCAGTTTGGTCCATAAAGATTTACAGCCTCGGAAACACTATGGGGCAGTTCTACTCTCTCTTATAGGGTCGCTATAAGTCAGAATAAACTAGGTAGCAGTGGGGTTTTGGACTGTTTTTAGAGTAGTGATATGTTATTCAGGAGGTAGGGATTATATAAAAGTTCTGATGGTACAGTGGTTGAAGCACTCAGCTGCCAACTGCAAGGCCAGTGGTCTAAACCGATCAGCTCCTTCATGGAAGAAAGATGTGGCAGTCTGCTCTCGTAAAGATTATAGCCTTGGAAACCCTATGGGGCAGCTCTACTCTGTCCTATAGGGCTGAGTCGGGATTGAGTTGGCAGCGTACAACAACAGGGATTATATCAATATTACACATAAAAACTAAACTGTGTTTATCACATCTTGGCTACTTTTTAGTGTGTGCTGTGTTGTTATCTCTTCTATAGAGTTTTCACCAGCTAATTTTCACAAATAGATTGCCAGGCCTTTCTTTAGCCTCCCCACTGCCATCGAGTCGGACTCAATTCATAGGGACCCCTCCTTAGGTTTCTGAGGCAGTATCACTATGGAAGTAGATTGCCCCATCTTCCTTCTGAGGAGTGGCTGGTGGGTTTGAAATGCCAGGCTTCTGGTGAGCAGTCAAGTGCTTTAGGCAGTACACCACCAGAGCCTCATCTGTCTTAATCCATAAACTCTACTAAACCTATTCAGCATCACAGCAACACTGAAGCCTCCACTGGCAGACAGGTGGACACTGGCCAGGAACTGAACCCAGGTCTCCAGCATGTTGTTGTTCTTGTGATGTGCCGTTGAGTCAGACCCAACTCATAGAGTCATAGAGATCCCTCCTTGGGTTTCCGAGGCAGTATCACTACGGAAGTAGATTGTCCCATCTTCCTTCTGAGGAGTGGCTGGTGGGTTTGAACCGCCAGACTTCTGGTTAGCAGTCAAGTGCCTTAGGCACTACGCCACCAGAGCTCCTGGTGTCTTGCATGGAAGGTGAGAATTCTACCACTGAACCATCACTTCTGTATGTTTACTGCCTCAATATACTCAAATCACCTTGATACACCAGCTTTAATAATACCCTGAGGATAGTTTCTGATCCTCAATGACCTTAAAGAAAGGTATCGTTATGGATTGAATTGTAACCCCCAAAAATATGTGTTATAAATCCTAACCCCTATACCTGTGGTTATAATTACATAGGGAATAGGTTTTCTTTGTGATGATAAGTAGACAGTGTTAGTGTAGGGTGTGTTTTCATCAATCTCTTTTGAGATGGAAAAGGACAGATTATGCAGAGAAAAGCAGGCACAGATGAGGGAAGGTAGATGCCAAGTCACATGAGGATCACGGAGGAACAAGGACCTTCCCTCAGAGCTGACAGAGAGAGAAAGCCTTCCTTCTGAATTTGGACTTTGAGTCTCCTAAACTGTGAGAGAATAAATTTCTGTTTGTTAAAGCCACCCCCTTGTAGTATTTCTGTAACAGCACCCTTAGGTAACTAAGACAAGTACATTCTATTTAACCTCTAGTAACAAAAAAAAAGTTATTTTCTGATATAACTATAAAACATCATGCATATATATTGCCATTGATATCTTCAAAGTGTCAGGACATAGAAGTTATGTATTCTTTCACCTCTTCATGGGAGCTCTGGTAGAGTAGTGCCTAAGGCATTTGACTGCTAACCAGAAGGCTGGCGGTTTAAACCCTCCAGCCACTTCTCAGAAAGAAGACTGGGCAATCTACTTCTGTAGAGATACTGCCTTGGAAAGCCAAGGAGAGGTCACTATGAGTCAGATCCTACTTGATGGCAGTGTGTGTTTGTTGTTCACCTCTTCACAAAGACAAACTGAAGTAGGAATGTGGCAACTTTTTTTACTAAACACATCAAGTATATTTTGATCTAATATGACATTATTTGCAGAAAATAAAACTTTAGAGAAATAATATTGGCTATTTAATATGCCTTTTAGAATTCAGTATGGCTTTAACAAACATTGAATTGGCAAGAGATACAACAGAATTTGGAACCTTAATATACAGCCAGTCCACCAGTACCACTTTAAGAGCACTATTTGTAGGAAACACTGAGTAGCTGAGAGGGAAGATGATGGAAACAAAAAGGCCAGGATTTTTCCCAGGAGTTTTGCTTCTAAGAAGAGACTACTCAGTGCACATTTCATTGACAACAAAAGCAGAAACAAAAGTCATTTATAATACCCCAGAAAAAAAATCCCTTTATTTACTCTTGATTGACATTTGATTACTAACTACTCTGCCACTGAAGGAAATCATCAAGTAAAACAGTATTCGGTTGAAAGTTAGGTCTGCCGACCAACAGCTGCCTCAACAGGCTCTCTCACTGTAGACCACACAAGGTACTGTGTAAAACCATCTTTTTAAGTCTGAACAAAAATTTTAAAAAAAGATTATTGGTGATGAATATATAAAGATACACTTTGGATAGAAAAATAAGAGAAAGAAATATATTAGAAAGTATACGATAATAAAAATTAAAACTGAGAAGGATTAGGAAGAGTAGAAGAGAGCCAAGAAGAAAATATACCAAAATATTAACCATATCTTTGGATAATGTGAACCATATTCCCTCCTTTCAAGCTACCCTGTGTCTTCAGAACTGTTTATACAGAAATTACTTCAAAAACATGTAAGTAAATTTTTAAAGATGATACTTGAGAGATATCCAGGCTTTGGAAGGGTGATGCTGATGAGTTAATAAAACTATTTTCACTTGGGAAAGGGTTTCATCTTGATTATGCAAACTTAGAATTTCACATTTACCCACATTTTGATAAGGCCAATAATTAAAAAACAGTTGTAGTAGTACATTGATAGAAAACTGCCAGAAATTCAAGCCAGATTCAGAAGAGGATGTGAAATGAGGGATATCATTGCTGATATCAGATGGATCTTGGCTGAAAGCAGAGAATACCAGAAAGATATTTATTGGTGTTGTATTGATTGTGCAAAGGCATTCAGCTGTGTGGATCACAATGAATTATGGATAACATTGAGAAGAATGGGAATTCCAGAACATTTAATTGTGCTCGTGAAGAACCTGTACACAGACCAAGGGGTGGTTGTTCAAACAAAACAAAGGGATACGGCACAGTATAAAATTAGGAAGGGGGTGCATCAGGGTTGTACTCTTTCACCATACTTATTCAATGTGTATTTTGAGCAAATAATCTTAGAAGCTAAAGTATACGAAGACGAATGTGTAATCAGGATTGGAGGAAGAGTCATTAACCATTTGTGACATGCAGATGACACAACTCTGCTTACTGAAAGCAAAGAAGACTTGAAGCACTTACTGATGAAGATCAAAGACTATAGCCTTAAGTGTGGATTACACCTCAACAAAAAGAAAAGAAAAATCCTCATGCAGTGTAGTAAATTACTTTGTGTGGCTTTTCTACCCATAAGTCTTTGTAAACTCCAAGGTGGGATTTGCTATGAGCAACGAG